TCATTGTGGGAAAATTCTACTACCAGTCCTTCATCACCTTACACGAAATAGGGTGAATAGATCTCATTATGTAAAATTCAATTGAAACGAGAGGCCAACTGTGATGTTCAACTTCCATTAAACGAAATAGGATTAACAAAGTTATTATTCAAGACCCACTGGTAGTCTCAAAAGCCTACTATAAAATGAAAATTGCAAATAATTCTTTGCTTCGTAGATATGAAGGCCAAGATGGTGTGGCCTTCTGCTCATTTGACTTTTCCTAACTGTTGTAAACGTTATGGCATCCCTTCTAGTTTTTGCAATTTGATGAAAAACTATTATTCCGATAAGGTCAATGTTATATTATATCAAGCTTCTTGGCAAAAATTAAAGGAGGAATATGGTAGGGGGAGGATAAAATTATTTATATTATAGATATTAATTGTCTACTCAAGCGTGATTTGAGTCAGATCCTCACCCAGAGGATTTTTAAGAAACTACAGAAGATGACATACAGAAGGTGGAAAGGGACACTGGACTTAATCAAAAAAGGCACCAGAAGAAGCTGAATAAATATGAGATCTATAGGCCGCCCCAGGTCCAACCACCCGGCAAAAATAAGGATGCGGCTAGAATGAAGGATTTCACAGTCCAGATAATAAATAAAGAAGAAGAATGAGAAAGAGGCTAATCAAGTGATGGGTCTGAAGGTTAAGGAGAGGAAGATTCTCAGGCATTGGCATGGACATGGACAGGGGCATCATCTATTCTAAATCATAGATGGCATAATTGGGGACTGGAAATGAAGTAATTTTTATCTTTAGCAGCAACCAATTGACGGAATTGGGCAGAATGTAGGTCAGAAGCCATGCACATTGCATTTGGTACCTGTGGTGGAGATGATTACGCTTCGCCAAAACACACTCGTAGGCGATAGTGGAGGAAACGAGAGCAGAGAATTGTGTGAATAAGTGGAAAGGCCATATGAAATGGGGTTGAGAGAAGAAGATGCGGCACTAGAAGGTAGAAGAAGAAATAGGGAGCGAGGAGTGATACCGCAACGGTTGGACAGAAAAGTGGTCGAGTGGAACGCCTTCACTTGTCACTTTAAGAAGTTGTCATTCTGTGCTTACGATGCCGGCGAAACGTTTTAAGAATGTACCAAGTCAATGGTGCAATGATGGAAATCACGAATTCTATGGCAGAGGACACGGGGACTCGGTACGTTTCACAAGGTCTCCCTGACGCTCCGACCCACAACACTACAAAAATGTGCTTCCTCTACCATCCCCACTGCGAAAATGTGGTATGGCAAAGGTGTGGCTCTGTCATAGTCGACGTCTGCTCTGTGACTGGAGAGCACTCGCCGCAATCTGGAGTAGTTCTTTAGCCAGTCTAGACCATAGGCTGCATTGTCATGGTTCGAGTCGGGCTGTGCGTGCTGATGAGACCCAGGAAAGGCTGGACCTGCAGTCGAGCCTGGAGGAGAATATCTTTTGAGCAGCAAGACCAAGGCAAGTGTAGCTCAACTTGTAGTCTTTAAACCTATTTCTAAACGAAAATACGTCACATTCGGTGACTTAAAGCGATCTAAAGACAGACAACGAAGTTTTGCTAGCACTTCTTTTTAAGTCCTACTGAGGCTTTAGACAAATGCTTACACGTAATATAAGTCCCGTCTTCGATTGGAATGACGAACAAACGTGTGTCCTTCATCAAGAATGCCAATAAAAAATATGATTTCTTAGAGATGTGGCTCGACTTAAAAATCATATCTGTCCTCGGCTGGGTGACGGATAGCAGAGATGTCACCATAATGCAGCTGATCCGGCTTATAAACCCGCTGTAGGTGCTGATGAGATTGGGCGAGGTCGAAACTGCAATTCAACCGGGATGAGTAAGCCATTTAGAAGGCAAGTTCATGTGAAATTCAAAAGTTTCATCTGTTCTACGCATATGAATGTTAGAAAAGCTCTACCATCGGTCTTTAAATCCACATAAATTTTATTGAAAACTTCGTGTCAGAAAAGATGAAGGTCTTAGGACTCACCTTAGAGGTAATATAGAATCGAAACTCTGATGAGTACTCGATAATGGAGTCTCCAAGTTTAATGCAAATGGCACCACCCTGCTTGAAGGTCTGCTTCAGAAGGAGCGGCTCCATAACAGGATCGATCTCTTCGAGCGCGTTCTCCAGCATCACAGGTGTTCCAAATTGGATGCAGTTCTCCAGGGTCCGGATGAAGTCAGAATCTGTCGGCTTGATTAGCTGCAAGTTGTTCTTCTTTTCCATGTTTCGAATCCACTTGTTTGCTTGACCTTGAGGATCTATCATCAGAGGCCAACGACGCGCGTTACTTGGTTAGAAGTGGTGAGAAAAAGAAGGTGAACAACGGGAGCACATTAGACGCTGAAATATGATAAATAGACCCAACCAAAATACTAACTGGCTTGGGTTCATGTGAAGGTATAGAATTTAATGTATGCGAAGAAAAGTAGGATTTCGAGGAATCTATTGTTTCATAATTGTTGAGCTCACTTCCATTTCAAGTGAAAGTGTTTGGTGAAGAGATTCGAAGGTCGATTCCACCAAAAGGTGACGGCCGATTCCTCTTGACCAGCTGTCGATTGGCTTTACTGATGCACTCATGTTGACGTTGTTTCCGAGGCATTCTCCTTCGATTCCGGTGAAAGTAAAGCTAACGAGTCAAGTTTTCTTAACTGTAAGAATGATACCTTGCTCTGATGTGTTCGACGTATGATGGACGTAAGCTTCAGACAAAACGTAAAAATAGACAGTGTTTCCGCCGACCCCATACTTAAGAGTTTACTGAAAGATTTAAAAACATTCTTGTCTTCGTTAGAATTTACATACAATATATTAAGATTTTTTTGCTGTCCGTATATAGTGGGGTTTGCTTATAATAATACCAAATATACATTTTATTTGATGCATGAATTTGATAAAATGTGTGACACATGTTTGAAAAGTGATATAAAATGTGCACATGACTTACGCTTTTTATTCTACCATATTTGTATATGAGACTGATTTACTGGTGGTCTCGAAACTCTACGTACATACGAATAATTGGTTTGGATAAATTTGTTACATATATTGCCTATACTTTAAACATTTTGAGAGCTTTAAGTATGATGGATATGAAATACTTTACTTCGTTTTAAATAAAGCATAGATGGTGCAATTTTCTATGCGATTAAAGTTAATTTTGTGAGAATATGTCTTGGTTTCGCATGCATTCTAAAATTAAGAGATGGGGTATTTCTGTCTCATTTATTCTTTTGTTTACTAA